CAGCCTTTAGCAGGTCTGGTACAGCAGGTCGCTCGTAGGTGCCAATTGGGGTAACCATGTGATGATAGCATATGAAGTTAGATATAGTTCTATTTATATATTGTCTGTACTAAACATTTATAAATAAACTTCTGACTGGTTGACCATCATGGCTGCCAAAGGTTAAAAAAAAAAAAAAAATTTATATTTAATTTGTAAAATACTTATTTAAAAAGATAATTAATAAATTGTGTAAATAAGTTTTAATTGAAATTTAAAGAAAGAATTTTTTAATTAAAAAATAATTTAAAAATAATTAAAATTAGAATAGTAAAAGAAATAGTAAATATGAAAATAATCTATAATAAAAATTAATTTAATCAAAATTAAAAGTATTTCTAATATAGCTAAATAATTTAATTATAGAAAAGTAAATCTTGAAGACTGATATATAAATTTTTTATATGAAAAAAAGATACTAAATCAGATTTTAATTATATTCAAATAGAGTTTATAATGAACAAAACTAGGATCAACCAATTAATATAAGATAAAATTTGTAAAATAATATAATATTACTAAAGTTGGTATAATTTTTTGAATATAATTAGAATTGTTTTGTAAATATTATTATATAAGTTAAGAACTTGTAATATATAGTAATATAATATTACTAGAATTAGAAAAACTTTTTAATTATAACTAAAATTAGTTTGTTTATAAGTATAATAAGTTTTAGTTTCTATTATAAAAGGAAATATCTTATTAAAAGTTAAATATAATACTAAGTTACTATATAATATTAAGATCTATAATATTTATAAAAATAATAATAGTAGTCTGATTTAAGATATAAATTGATCATAAGACTAATAAAGACAATAAGTCTAATTTAAAATATAGATTTATTGTAGATCCTAAACTATTGTTAAAACATCTTAGAAAAATTAATAACAAATATATTAAAAATAAGATATTATAAGGATCAGATATATTTAAATAAAAAATAGTAATTCTAATATAGTGATTAGGTTGTTATTCTCTAAGTAGCAGATCTAAGGTTCAAATTTTACTTATAATGAAATTTAAAAATTAACTTGTAGTATAACAAACTATTTTCTGTTAATTAGTTGTATTTAATCATAAGCTATAATCTTAAGTATACCAAGTCAGATTCTATCTATTATATGTAGTTCAGAGTATCTATACAAAATATAATATTATATAAATATAGAAAAATATTAATAACTAATGTTGAATAAGACTTTAGTACAAACTTATGATAAGACTATTAGGTGCAAAAGACTAAGAAACTAAAAAGATGAAATCCTATTTGAAAATTTTTGAGTAAAAAAATAGTACAAAGTTTTGATAATACTGTTAGATTGATAAAAACTTACAAAACCTCAATAAGGAATAGGTAGACATTTAATCAAATGATAAAATGTATTAAGAAGTATATAACCAACTAAGTTACCAGAACTATTAAAAGAAAAAAATATTAAAAAATATATTGTATTAGGCTATCTTGATTGAAAATTCAAAGAGTCTGTCAGATACTAAGTTGGATAATAAAGAAGTAAAGAGAAGAAATCAAAAAAATAAGTATCAAGGTTTGAATAAACTTTACAAAAATAAAAATAGTATAATGTAATAGTTAAATAGGTAACTCTTGTAATTGCAAGTATTAAGTAACTATAGCATATTGTATAAAACTAAATTAGTATATGTGGAATATAAAGACTCTAATAAGTTATTTATCAAGAATAAAGTAATTTAAAGGTACCAATAAGCATCAGATACTTAAATGAGTATAACCTTGAGATATTACTATAATATAAAATAGATTTTATATGCAAAAGGTTAAATAGATATGATTCTTAACTGGCTTGCAAGTATGATATCTAGTATAGAACTTATATAACAATATATAAACAAACTACTTAATTTAGATATCAAAAGTGTATATGTAACTAGTTATAACCTCCTATGTAAAGAAACTCTTAATGATACTTGTGTTCTATAAACTTGAATAAAACAATCATAATTTAAAGATAAGAGATTTTAATAATAAAAAAAAATTATATATATATATCTGAATAGAATCAATTTAGAAGTGATATAACAAAAAGATGAAAAATGTAAGAAACAAGATATTATTAGATATAATTAGATTAGAAGGTAGAAGAAACAAAACCAAGTAAAATATATAAGTATAACATATAAATAAGATTACAAAAGACAGTATCCTTAATACTAAAATATTACATTAAGTTTAAAGATATCCTTGCCTGTGTAATGGTTTAATGATACATCCTAACTGCAAGTAATTGCCAAGGTAACTGCATGCAGACATGCAATAGACACGAACTTAGATGCCATATAAGTAAATAAGTAAAGTCAATGATGTAAAATTAGAATAGTAAAATATAATACTAATAATAATTGATTCTGTAAATATAACCGTAAAAATTGTACTATATCAAATTTAGAATCTAATAAACCAACTGACAGTGTCACCAAAGTTCAAAAAAAAAATTGTTTTATAGATATATATCCAATAAAAAAAGTTTGCTCTAAGTTACAAAAAGTAATTATAATAAAAAATTTTATTACAATCGGTAGATCATTACTTAAAATTGATTTGAGCTGTTTTTTTAATACGTATATATTCAACTCGGGTAGAAGCAAGTACATAATAATTTGTTAAAAAACCTGGTTCGGGAAAATCATTTCTGTATCCTAAATACGCGTTATTTCGCGTCAATACGGTAATGCTCTTCCAAAATGTTGTGACTTTGATGAAGAAAAACTTAATCATATGAGCGACGAAAAGGGAAAACCTGTAAATCATCTCACTCAATGAGTGAAATGATTTACAGGTTTCCCTTTTCGGCACTCATCTATTACATACTTGAAAGTCATACATAATAAATGTTAGAAAGTTTTGATTAATTTATTTCACGATTCTTATTTATACTTCTATATTATTTTTTTTATACTTATACTATAACAACCCTAGCATCACCCATAAAAAAATGTTGAAATAACATGAGAATTTCAGATCCAATGCAAAATTAAGAATACACTCCAGAAGCGAATCAACTATTATTCTCAAAGATATTAATAGGTTTATCTATAATTTAATATCTTTAGAAGGAACTAATGAACAATATAAATGTGAATAGGTGCTGTAAATAGCATTTAGAAATACTAAAAAAATTGAGCCTCAATAATAATATGTGTTACGAAAATGTACTGAATTCGGATATTAGTAAATTTTTATAATGTAAAGAATTATCAACTAAAGATTCAGGCTCGTGGGTGGTTCTGAGGATACCCATAACTTTACGGTACCACATTATGGTAAGAATTAGTGATGCGGTCGTCCCAATGATGTTACGGCTTAGCTAAAGCTAATGTCGTAAATACTAGTAAGGATAAGAATTAAAGAGTTGTGCCCTCATACGACGGGTAGGGTTAGGTAACATGAGTACAGGCCTGTGCGGAAGACTAACCCGGATGTAATAGATATATTCTGGGGCAGTTGGGTATGAGCGAACTTTGCAATAAAGTATAATCGGCTGCGTTAAGCGGCTGATTATACTTTACTGCAAAATTTCGCCTACACAGGATATAACTGATTTATCCCCTGCCATCTACGTTCATGTACTTATTTGAAAGCGACAACTGTTTTTTACGCATTGTTTTGATATTTAAGATTAAATAGGATAATATACTCAATCACCTGAATTAAATAAAACTGACCCTTCTAATCACTACTGACTTATCAGTTATCTAATGATTTTTTTCGGTTAATGGAGTTTTTGAAAGGTTTAATTGGCCAATTTTCGAATGATTAGGCATGATCTCAAGAGCAGAATTATTAATAGTGGCATCGGAATAAAAGTATTCGCCGTCTCTGCCACTCAGTATTAATCATGAAGATATCTGATATTATTTTATGGGATACTACGTATAAGCAATGCTTAATGGTAAATATTGTCCACATCTTGGCACATTATGCAGTCATCATGGTATGGGTATAAATTAAATATTAGTGTTAGGAATTACAACATATTAATATGATACATACTTATGTGCAATTTTTCAAATTTGCACTGTACACCCCATACCATTGCCGATTTGTATGATCTACTATTTTTGATTTCCCGATCAGATAGTTACATGTAATATTTTAGGGATGAAAAATCTAGTTGTTTTACATTATCCCAAAACCCCCCGCTCTAAATAAAATGACCTATACCCCTAAAACCTTTTCCAATTTTAAACATAATTCTAAATACTAATCTTAATGTGAAAACACGAAAACATTTGAATTAAAAATTTGATGTACAAAAATTATAAAAAACTTGGCAAATTCTAAAAAAACATGGTATAAAAAAAGTGTATAATATGTAAGTGCAAAGACACAATAGGTGCGTTTTACGTCTTTCATGTAATAATCTTTGACCATATGTTTGTAGATCGTAAGTGTGCTCCAGAATATTATAATAAAAAATTTATTCCCATCTCCATAGTATTGGACATTCCAGTGACTAGATACAGTATCTTGCATCCTAATGTGACACGCATTACATAATAAATACTATATAATATATTTTACGCATAAATGATATCGTCCTAACAATAGGTAACACAACTGATGAGTTTAATCCTCATTTTAGAATACCAAATTAAATAAACCGACAGAACAAGGTTATCTTAAAAAGGAAAATTGCTTTAATTACTTCTAATTTTTGTAGTGGTAGTACAATTTAATTAAACAATTTTCCATGTTAAAAGGCACTTTTGGCTCGTAATTCAATGCATTCCTAACGCATATCCTTCTTTCAACAATTATACGACATACCTTACTTTCTTTTCGACGACTATAAATTTCCATCTAAAACCCGTAATAAACACCTTCACTCTAAGACATAAGTTATTATGTTTAATTCCGTAATCTTTTAATATTGCAAACAAAAAAAAAAAAAAAAAATTCAAAAAAAAAAGAAGGAATGCCGTCCATATTATACATTATATCTTTAATTATATTCCTATCATGGAGTAGTGTCATCATTGTCTCTGCAGAATATTGGTGTTATGACACAGATAATCCCTTTGACCAAGATAGAGAGCCAGTTAGGTGTCCTTCCGTGACCGAAACACCGAATAGCAAATTTTTTAATGTTGGGGTTAAGCCAGGTGTTTCGACCAACATGTTTGATATAACATTCACTTGTGACCCATTAACTAATGCAACAACTTGTGATAAAGCAAAAAAATCATTTGAGAAAGCAGGAGAAATATTTACCAGCGTTTTACTACTGAAAACTCCAATACGAATAAATGCTAGCCTAGTACTATTGTCTGATAACACAATTTTAGGTGAGTCATTATTTCATTAATATTTCATTAATAATTTATCCTATTTTAACTAGTTTATCATTTTATAACATTTTTGGTAATTAGGATCAGCGGCACCGGCTCGAATAATTCCATTGAAATGTAAAGATAATAAAATCCGAAATTTTCCACAATCTTTAGTCAAACAATTTCAATTCTCTACACATCCAGAATATGCTACCGATGATATTGTTGCTGTATTCAATTCTGGCTCAGATTTTTATTTCGAAGACGATCCAATAGTCAATCCTCAACAGATAGGATTTCTAGAATTAATAGTACATGAAATTGTTCATGGTCTAGGACTTATAACAAGTTGGAAGCCCCTTTCAAATTCTAATATAACCACTGAATTAGTTCCAAGATTAAACATAACATTGGATATTGATCCAACTAAGCCTGTAACATATTATGGATTTGTTGAAACTATTTTTGACGCATTTTTAGTAACATCTGAAGGAGATAAATTTACAAATTTTACTGATCAATTAAACAAGTTTACTCCGTTCGGAACAAAATTCCAAACTCAACAGGCTTTTATGAATTCTTTTATTAATTCAACACAATATAATATAGCAAAAAAGGTGTTGAACTATTCACAAACACCATACTCTATGGTATTTTTAGCAAATCCTCATTCTGAATTAATATGGTTGGAAACTGGCTTGAATCCATATGTGAAAGGAAGTAGTATATCACATTTTAATCTACAAATTTATGATAATACGACCGATTTTTTAATGACTTATCTGCAAAACCCTGGTCGATCTTTGGAAACTTCTATGAAACAAAACAATGCAACTAGTGCAATTGGTCCGAAATTACTATTATTACTTGAAACTATAGGGTAACTATTATCACTTGCATACGCATATAACTGACATCATCTGCGATATGTACTCTAATACTGACACATCACATCTTAATATTTTAGTTATGCAACACCTAGCAATCCAAACCCTGAAATACCGTCACCAATAAATCCCCCTCCAACAAATATAACAAAGACGTCGAATGATTATAACATCAGTAGTTCCAGTAGTTCTAGTAGTTCCAGTAGTTCACCTAACATATCACAACCTACTCATTCCAACACATTATCTAATACCGGATGTGTTATAACCAATAATTATGGATGGATAAATCTAGTAGTTAGTTTGAGTATTGGTGGATGGTTTTTTTTGCAAGTAGAAGGTTTTAAATTATAAATAATCATTAAATAGTTTGATAAATAATTTAAATATATATTGAAAATTGTTTATTGAACTAATTATATATTTTATATAAATATAATTAATGTTTATTTATTTATTTTTTTTGTAATATTGTTGAAAGTTTTTCACTCCCTAAATAATTTCGAACTCCTTTTTTTTTTATTTAATTCATGCATTTTTATACATGGTCAGTTTTTTTTCCTTTTTTCCCTTTTTTCCCTTTTTCTCTTTTTGTGTACTCTTATTACGTATGGTTATTTTTTTAATATTTTTTTTTCATAATGAAAAAAAAAAAAAATTTTGTAATTTTAGTTAGAGATACCCGATATAAAATTTTTCTAAAATAAACACATGAAAATCATACGTTTTTTACTGGTTAATCTAATAAATGTGTGACCAAACTATTTTGATTGTAAAAAATAACTATTTTTAAATTTCATCTCTAAAAAAAAAAAAAAAAAAAAAATGCCGAAAGCAAAAGCAAAATTAAAAACTTTATTAATAAAACTTCAACAAGAGAAAAAATATAGGGATAAAGTAACTGCTACATCACGAACTTTACATCCGTATCCAAAAATAAAATCTTCAAATGTAAAAAAACAAATTAAACCACCACCTTATCATCCTGATGATTATATTCTATTAGTCGGAGAAGGTGCATAATATCTTCGAATGTAGTTTTCATTTTCAATTAATATAAATTAATATATTTCACTAATTTATATGATTACAATTTTAATAATTAAATGATATTAAATAGGAAACTTTAGTTTTGCACGCACTTTAGCGGAATCAATTCTTCATACTGGTCATAAAATAATTGCAACATCATATGATACCAAAGAAATATTGACAAAAAAATATGAGGATGCACAATCAAATATAAATATATTTATTGAATGTGGTGGTCAAGTTTTATATCAAGTTGATGCAACAAAATTGGAGAATTGTAAAGAATTAAAAAATAAAAGATTTGATAAGATTGTTTTTAATTTTCCTCATGCGGGTAATTTATTTAATCATTATTTTTTATATATAAATAAATTGAATGTTAATTATTAATAATTTATTAATAAATAACAGGTATAGGAATAAAAGATCAGGATCGTAACATTATTGCAAACCAACGTTTAATTCTTTCTTTTCTCGCTTCTTCCTCGGCTTTTCTAACCTCTCAGAATCTTTATTCTGATGATAAAGATGGTGAAATTCATATCACAATGAAAACAGGAATGCCTTATGATCATTGGAATATTCGTAAATTGGTTAAATCTATAGAAAGTCTTGGAATTAAAGAGAGTTTTGAGTTTGATCCAAGTCATTATCCAGGGTATGAACATCGAAGAACTTTGGGATTTAAGGAAGGTGTTAGTAAAAAAGATAATGAAGAAATTTTGGAAAAACAACCAAGAACTTTTGTTATTGTCATGAAAGAAGTTTTATTAAAAGAAGAAAAAAAGAGAAAAGAAGATGCAAAGGAAGAAGAAGATGATGATGATGATTCTTTTGTTATTAGATCTAAAAAGATAATAAAAAATAAGAAAAGAAAATAATTAAGTTTGTGTTGATATTAAAATTACTGTTAAAATAAAATCATTAAGTTTGTGCTAATATTAAAATTACTGTTAAAATAAAATAATTAAATTGGTGTTGTTATCAAAGTTGCTATTACAAATAAATAAATAAATAAATAAGCTAGTTTTATTATAAAAATTACTGTTAAAATAAAATAATTAAGTTTGTGTTGATATTAAACTTACTGTTAAAATAAATTAATTAAGTCTGCTAATATTAAAATTACTGTTAAAATAAAATAATTAAGTTTGTGCTAATATTGAAATTACTGTTAAAATAAAATAATTAAGTTTGTGCTAATATTAAAATTACTGTTAAAATAAGATAATTAAGTTTGTGCTGATATTAAAATTACTGGCTGATATTAAAATTACTGTTAAAATAAAATAATTACGTCTGTGCTGATATTAAAAATTGCTGTTACAAATTAAGTAAAGCAATCATGTTAATTTGTTATCAAAAATGTTGTTATAAAAATATCTCAATGGCTATTACAAATAACCCAATTGCTATTACAAATATTTAAGTTAGTATTATTAGTTGAAAACTTTAAAAGTTTACTAAAAGTCAAAATTTACAATTTGAATTAAGTAATAGACAAGTTTTCATTTTTTAATCTGTATAATTTTACAATCTGAATAAATATTTGTTTAATAGCAAAGCTGTTTATTATAGAAAATTGTAAAAGTAAATTTATTATTATATTTTATTTATTAGACTTGTGTTATTAACAAACTTAATTTTTTTTAATATCGTTTTTTAAAGTCTATAAATGATAATAAAAATAATTTGGGCAGACAACTATAATACGTATAATTTTATGTTTCAATTCTTAATAAAGATGTTGGTGAAATTAATTTTACCAAATTTCATTAAATTATACACGTATTAAATCTTTTTAATTACACGACATAGCTTAATCCCTGTTTAGATATCTTACTTTCTGCAAATGTAAGCATTCTATAAGCACATTGCTTGAGTATAGACAATGTTGCATACTAACTGTACTAGAATACCAAATCTGGAAAACTGCATATATTATCCGAGAATATTATTCAAGAAGATATATATGAAAAGTAATAAAAGTAATAAATAATAAGGAAATATATGAGATGACCTAATGGTGAATACACCTAACTCTCGCAAAGATAGTGTAAGCTAGTTAACACTTCTTAGATACAATATTGTATTATCTTTTAAATACGTACAAGCATAGACTTTTTCCAAACTTATATTTATTAAACATTTCACTCTATAAATTTTATACCATAAGGTATCGATGGATTAAGTTTACTGAAAATTAATTTAACACAAAATTAGGTTACACAATATGCAGACAGATAATTCAAAGTTCATTCTTGATATACATATTAAATATTAATCAAAAATGGAACCTTGCATCAATTTATATACATAGAATTGGAATATCTACAGTATAATGTATACAAGATTATAGTGTTGATTAGAAAGGTTAGGTCGATTTTATTTAATATGTATTACCAGAAACACATATTAAATATTGAATTTATAGTAAATATTGTGACATTATATAAATGTTTCAATGCAACATATTAAATAAATTGATATCGATATAAAGTGCACTGTCACACAGATCTATATCTATATTGCATGTAAATAATTGAAAAATATTTGTGTTTGTACCTGTATACTTGCTGGCAGAGCTGTTGAGGATTTGGAATTTTGGATTTGTAATTTAGATTTAGATTTAATTACGTTTGGGATTAGGTCAATTACGTTTGGGATTAGGTCAATTTTAGTATGCTTGGAATTCAGGAATTTTAAGGATGTGGAGTTTGGGCGAAATGTGTATATAATTGAAGTTTGCTAAATGACATTTCTGCTAAAGTTTGGAACCGGTGTTGTTTTTTCACATGTTAAACCGATTAAACCCGGGTTTAACGTACGAAAAAGCCGGTTCCAAACTCTAATCTCAATTATCACCAGATTTTAATAAAGGTTGTTATGGTTTTACTAATAAAATTGGACCCGAATATAAGCAATCTCTTCACTTTGGCCTAAAAAGTGTCTTTTTTTTGGTTGCTTATTTTCGGTAGTATACGGTAATATAAATACAATATATATATTAACGTTAAGATTATTAATTTTATAATTAAATAAGATGTAATAGATATGTATTATATATATTATAGGCATATTATATATATACGTATAAGTTATTCTTTTAAGATTAACAACGTAAGCATTTTAAATCACTTCTGACATTCTGCTTTACTAATAAATAATAAAATATTTACTAATAAATAATAAAGTATTGGTCTTACAAGTACCCAATTTTGAGCGAATATTACGTTCTTATGAAGTAAAATGTTACATTCTTAAAAATATTTAACTGCATGATTCGAACCAGCAAATCAGTTTATGAAGTATATTCATAAAATTTAAGGCCATTCGTTACAAGAACTTATAGAATTAGCGGTTCTTAATGTGATCTACGAATCAGGTAAATCCAAGTGAGAGGGATGATCTCAATTCAAAGAATATCACTAGTTTATTTCCAACTCTTAACCTTATTGTTAAGCTTTATTCAGACTAACCATAATAACGCGAACACTCGTTTTTACTAAAAATTTGAGTTACATAGTTTGCGCCATCACTACAACTTTACATGTACGGCGGAAAATCCAAATGAATTTTCCTCCTTTCAAATTCCAACTTTACATGTACGGCGGAATAACCAAATATTTCATTTCGTTTGTACAACAAGATTAAAGGTACTTCTTGCCTTAATTACTTTCTTGTACGAACGTAACTATCTACAATAAGTATCTTGTTTTTTCCTACCAATATAAAAAATACAATAATCTGTTTTATCGCATGTCGGAAGGATGCGATAATATGAATAATCAACTAAATAAAGCTAAACCATTGCAAATATTTATTAATTATTGGGAAACCAAGACACATGTCGTGCATATACGTACGCACGTACATACGTATGTATGTAGTATGTGTTGTATGTTACATGCATATTCTAAAGATAGCACCTCGGTTAATCCTGAATTCTACGTAGGTAGCGGTAGCACTTTCTTTGTTATAATATATATATTTTATATATACGTATAATTTATTATATTAATAATAGCTATAAATAATTACATAATTAATATATACATATGAGAGGAAGTCAATAGAAAAGGGCCAAATTTTTTCTACGTAAAAGTTTTCTCAACTTTAAACTTAAATATCTTAATAACTATCTGTTCAAATTTGATAAAAAAATTTTATTTTAATTTTATATAATTTTAAAATTAAAAATTAAAAAAAAAAATTTGTTAAATTAATTACTAAAAATGATTTGTCCTTTTTCTACGTACGTATTGACTCACATATAAGATTATAGTTGTGGAATAACGATATGTTGTACGTAGTTATCTATCAGTAGCATGCCAATATAATATTTTGAATTCAATATTAATTCGCAGCTGGCGAATCATCTCTTTTTAACTTTAAATAGATGAATAGAGATATGTAGCTATGTACATTAAATATACCTTGTTATAGATTCTAACTCCTGTAACACTAGTTTGACCTTTGTAGTAACCTCGAAATCTAGAATTTTTGATATGGAAATAAATTCGGTTCTAAACTCCATTTGAACCAATTGAGATTCATCTCAATTCTAGCTTTACTTTACCACTATCGCTATTTCTCTTGCAAAAGGTGGTCCGCTAACTCATTTTATTTTTGACTCTTTAAATTTCTTTAATTTATTTAAGTCATTAATCCTTTTGGTCTTCAGTTCTTCTCGTCTCATTTCTTCTTTTAATTCGTTAAGAAGATCCATCAATGCTTCTCTATCGTACATCTCGTAATAATATTTTCTTAATTCGGGATTCTTGCGTTTAATGAAACTATTGCCATCATTAGTATTGTTATAACTATTTGTAGCATTAGCGTCATTCTCAAACACTGCAGTCCAATTGTACGATTTCTCTAACGCTTTCAAATATTCACTCTTATTTTCCACATCCACATTATTCATTTCCGCAATCTCTGCTAGCCTTCTTTTCAGATGTTTTAAATAATATGCCATTTGGTTCAACTCATTCTCCATTTCGAAAATATCTTCAATCATAATTAATTCTCTACACTGATTCATAATACTAGTTAAATCTGCACCTTTGGGAATTTGTTCAAAAAATGTTATGGTTCTTGGATTTACTCCATTAGTACTTACATAAATTGTTGTCATTATATTAATAAAACTAACGATAGCCGCAATCTCTTTATACATATCTATAAAGATTTCCGATTTCTCAATTTCATCAAAAATATTCAACTTTGAATTTGCCATTCCGATTTCTTGAAACATCCGTTCTCCCCAACACTCGTATGCCAACACAAGATATCCTTTAATAAACACTTCTTCAATAAAAACACTGATTTCTCTTGGTTGTCGTTGATTAATTAACATGGCTTGAATTTTAATTATATCACTAAGAATCATCCAAAAATATCCAAATACTTTTATATTCTCATATTTCGTTCTATAAACTTTATACCATTTCATTCTTGCAACCATAGTTCCTACATTTTCTGCATCATTCTCAAGGTCTTTGTTCTTCTCAAAATCCTCAATAGAATCATATGCCTTACCAATCCTTTCTAACTTGGATGCCATTTCGTCAGTTATATTAGAGTAGCTGAATTCTTTGTGTGGTGTTATGGGGGAACCGGGACTTTCGGGTGTTTCATAACCTGTGTGGTATTGCTTTCCACGAATACCATAAGAAGAGAAGCCAAAACTATCAATTAAGTAAGGCTCAACATGTAAATTATCAACAAAATCTGGTATGCTCATTATTCTTTATCTTTTTGCAATTCACTTTTGCTTATATTGGAGATTCACTTATATTTGAAGTATTATCACTTTAGTACTATTACTTTAAATGTGAATTTCAAAGAGCTGTACAAATCGCTCGCTTAATATCCTGAATTTTCTACACGCAAAGTTCCTTTCACTCTAATTAAATATATTCTCATACAACAATACAAGGGAAAAACGCGTACTATATCAAAAGATAAACGTCCTACTGCATAATAATTAAATTTTGGTTAGTTAATTAGAAAAGTTATTACATGTATTATATATTATTTTTTCTGTACTGTATAATACCTATACATCTAATATTATATAATTTGGATTATATATAATACATTCTCATAGATAACTGGATTATAAAAGTTCAACTTCATATATATATATATTTTTTTAGCCATTTTCCTTCCCACTGGAACGGAATTTTTTTTTCATGATCATGCGAGTGTCCGAATACACTTTCATTAATGCAGTATTTTATAATGATAACAATGACAATTTTAAACCAAGTTAATCTTATCGTTACGAGAATGCGTAAACAAAGATAACAACAATACACTTAATCCTTCATCTATTGTATTATTTAAATTCATAGATATCAATGTATTTTTATATAATCTCGTTTGGTTTTTGTTTCTCAAATTCAATGATTTAATTGGTAAATATTATGGTAGTTGAAGTATTCATCACAATAAAATCTTATTGGCCCAAGCATTTTAGGTTAACCTTCGAGATTAATAGAATATATTAGGGTTAATGCACTTGATCGATTAGGATTGTATATTAATATATTCGGAAATATATACTTTAAATTTATCTTTTATATAATGACGAACCGAAAGTTTGTGCTCGACCTTCGCTGTCTCTGCTTCCCAGTTTCAATAATCGCAACTTATCTCTAATTATTTAACTCAATTTTGGTCATGAGAGCTGGTCTAATAACATGTTTGTTTATATTCACGTGTCAACGACTTTTTTTCCACATTTAGAGTTGGCTTCAAATAACATGTAAACGGTTCTATGACCGATAATTCGACCAGGTTCAAGTCCTTACGTCAGATACTCAAAAGGATATCTAACTCAAGAGAACGTTTCGAGCCTCATTGAAATATCTATCCATTGTGTTTTTGCATGAAACGCAATTTACTACGTGTTTGGCTAGTATACTCTTCACTACAAAAGATCACGTTCCTATTATAATATTCTCTTAATTTATATTTTATAATTTCTCTAAAGCGATAATGACCCATGTCAACATGGCATGTGCTGGTTTACTAAGAATCTTTCTATTCTTTCTTTTGGCTATATTTAAAGTACTGAATTCAGGGATTAATATCATTTTGTAATAATTCAGCAACCATTTTACCAGTTTATAGTGGATTTCATTTTCTAATGTCTAATGATATTCAATACATCTTTTCCTCAAAAGATACCTAGTACATTTATATTTATCACCTTTCTTTGTGACTAAATCACTTTTGAATTTATTATACGTATTGCTCGCATAATCCGAATATCTTTTCAAAATCCCCACTACCCTATTCTATAACATGAACTCTCAGATTATAGCATGTAGTAAATGTTCTTAAACCAGAACCAATACTTACAATCATTCATTGTTTAAAATGCAAATTTAAAATTATGTTTTCAAAAAAAACTTAATCTAAATTATTAATATTCTTAAAAAATTTAATGTTCATTATAGTATTTCAAAAAAGTTGTTAATTCTAGTAATTTATTAAATTAAAATTATTGTAACATTACTTAATTTTATAAAGAACCTTATTTGAAATACTATAAAAATTTTTTTTTCGGTATTAAGGTGACCTCTTTGGTCTTTTGACTTTTTATTAATACTTATATCGGGTACATGTTCATACAGATGGATCTATATTATACTTTCAGACGAGTGTACAACTGGCTACACATATAACTTTTCTATATTACCTATTTAAGAAGTCCGCTCAAAGGTTTCTTACCAATTGCCGTACCTAATATTCCTGCTTAGGTGTTTTATTTAAACCCTCTGATCTGACCTTGATATTAATTTCACCAGATCATTTGATCCAGATCTTTTCATCTCAACCTTAAGATAATTTTATCCTTGAGGTAAACCAACTAGAGCAAGCTATATATTTCCTATCTATTACTAACCTGAATTTTCTGTTATGGTTAATATCAATAGAGTTATCTGTTAAATTGCTATTATTTTTGTAAAGTTCACCTAAACTCTGGTACCTATTTTTCTAACATCTTCTTCATCATCTTCTATTAGTTATAACTCAGAACCAACAGACTTTTTAAACTTTTAATCCAAATGATCCAGTATAGTATACTTATGTATTTTTTTCTTCTGACAATTTTGGTAAAATGGTTGATCATATGTTTCTTTACACATTTTATCATCTAGTTCCTTTGATAATTCTTATGAAGATGTTTCATAGATTTTTATCAGTCCAATAGCATCATCAAATTTGTATTATTTTTTTATTTAGAATTTCAAATAGGCTTTTCTCTTCTTGGTTTCTTAGTTTTCTATACCCAGTGGTCTTATTATAGGTTTGTATTAAAGATTATATAACATTAGTTTTTATATTTCTTTATGTATATATAATGTTATATTTTGCATAGATACCTTAAGCTTCCAAAATTAGATGGGTTCTGATCTGATCTACCTAAGATTACAAATGCATAAATCCAACTGATTGACAAGAAACAGTTATTATAATATAAGTATAATTTCCAAAATTCATTATTTATAAAAATTGAACCTTAGATCTGTCACTTAGAGGTTGACAACCTATTTACTTTACTAAGTTACTACATCTTTTTGAAATACTATAATATATGTAATTTAAAAACTATATTTGTATTTTTTAAATTTTGTTTTTTTTTTTTTTTTTTTTTTTTTTTTAAATGTTAAGTAAGTACATGCAACCTAGGATTTTACTGATAGTATAAGTTGGCCAGCACCTGTATATGTACAGACACAGAGGCAATTACAGAAAGAGTATACAACTAACCACTCATACAACTTTAGTCATTGTCTAATTTAAGTAGTCTGCCTGAAGGTTCTACACTAGTTGCTATATCTAGAACTCACCTGTAGATCATTTATTTAAACACTCTGATCCTGCATCTACCACACCCTACTAGCGACTCCAGTAAATTAGTGAAGATATGCCATGGTCACTAAGTCATGTTTAACTTTGTAATAAATCTACTAGTGCATTCTGTATTCTATACTTACAGCTCATCTGGTCATGCTTTGGCCTAAACCATCACTTGCAGTCAGGGCTAATCATTAAACTGCTTTTATTCTTGTAAGATTCACCCAAAACCCTGATACCCATCTTTCTGACATCCTCTCCATCATCCCCTACTAACTACTACTCAGAACTGACAGGACTCCTCAGACTTCCAATTCAGATGGTCCAATGTGGTATACCTTAGTATTCCTTTCTTTCAGTAATTTCAGCAGCCTGGTTGGTCATATGCTTCTCTATACATCTTGCCATTTAGTTTATCCGCCTATCCCTTTGGGGATATTTCATGGGCTTCCATCAGTCTGACAGCACTGTCGAAAGTTTTGTGCTACCTTCTTACTTGGGATTTCCAAGTGGGTTTCTGACTCTTTGGTTCTTTTGCTTTCCGTGCCTAGTAGTCTTATTATGGGTTTGCACTGAAGTTTATGCAATACTGGTTATTAACATTCCTCTATGTGGATGTAACGTTACACTTAGCATAGATGTCCTGAGCTCCTATTCGAGATGGTGCAACAAAGGTTACAGATACATCAATTCAACTGATTGACAGAGACAGTTACTATAATACAGACCTATTTTCCAAAATTCATCATCCATAGGATTTGAACTCTAGATCTGCCACTTGGGGGTGACAACCTGACCACTTCACTAGGTCACTACACCCCAATTTTTTTTTTTTTTTTTTAAATATTAAGATAAGTACTTGTAATATAGGATTTTATTGATAGTATATTTTGGCTAATAGTTGCATTAAAACTACAGAGAGCAATTATAGAAAGAGTATACAACTAATTATTTGTACAATTTTAGTTATTGTCTAATTTAAGTTGTTTGTCTAAAGGTTTTAGACTAGCTGCTATACCTGAAACCTACTTGTAGATTTTCTATTTAACCATTCTAGATTCCATATTCATTTATCTACTTTTGCCTATCAATGACTCCAGTCAATGTCAATAAAAATATGTTATAATCACTAAGTCTTTAAAGCAGTTTTTTGGAATCTTTAACCTTGTACTAAACCTTCTAGAATTTTCTGTATCCTATTTTTATATCTGATCTGGTTTGTTATAGCTGAAATCAATACTAGCAATTAGTGTATATTATTAATCTACTATGTCTTTATAGAGTTCATTTCAACCCTATTACTGACTTCATAATATATCTCTACTACTTTGGTATTTAATTTAAATTCTACCAAGCTGTCATTTCAGATAGTCCAGAAAGGTAGATCATAATTATACATCTTTGATTTACATATTTGCTGACATTTATTTTTTTTTCAAAATTTGAAAATTCTGATAACCTGGTTGGTTCATCTAATCTCTCTTCAAAGATCAAGTTATTTTGTCTGGTTTTACAAGTTCTAGATCTATTTTATAAGTCTAGTCTTTACAGTAGCATCATTAAAAGTTCAAATTATCTCTCTACTTAGGTCTTCCAAATAGGCTTTCATTTTTCTATTTAGTTTCTGTGATTTACATAGCCTAAGGCTTATCTTAGATTCACACTACCCAATACTGGTTTGTGTTTCTTTATACAACATTGTATGAGTATCTAGACCTTTTAGTCATACTGATATAATATAGATTACAGGTATTTAATTCTAATCAATCACAAAAGACAGTTAACTATAACACAGAAAGAATTGCAAATTTTTGCCATTACTGAGATTTGAACTCTAGACCTGCCACTTGAAGGTTAGCAACTTATTTATTT